AGAATTCAAATCCAGTTTCACCTAAAAATAAAATGCCTGCAGAAGTTTGCTTTTCCCCTTGTTTGGCTACCACTCTGTATCAACCCTCCTTTGTTTTTGTTGTTTTGAATTTGATTAGCTTATATGAGTAAAACTGAGTAAGGAAAGGATAACTTAGGAATGAAAATGTCCATCTCTGTTATGGAAATACACTGAAAGATGGTAAATATTTGGTGTTTATCAATGAGACTGCAGGTATTGTACACTAGAGAATTTTTTTCTTTCTTCCAGGAAAAGCAGTAAACCTCATGAAGACATCATTGGCATTCGGTCCCAGAACAGAGGCTCCCTGGCCCAAGGCAAGAATTATTTACTGAGCAAGTTCTCATCTCTCAATCAAAAAGTGAAACAAACCAAATCCAATGTAAACATTAGTAATCTTCGGAAGTTGGGCAGCTTTACCAAACCTGAAATGAAAGTCAATTTTTTAAAACCAAATTTGAAAGTGAATCTCTGGAAATCAGACAGTAGCCTTGAAACTCTAGAGAATCCGGTGGCAGATACTAAAGTCCATACTGAATCTGATACAGAAGTGTCAGATAATGATTCATTCCACTCCGATGACTTCCTGACTAATTCTAAATCCGATGAGGACAACCAGCTGACTGACTCTCTAGAGAACATAGGGCAAGCAGACTATGTGCTGCCCAGCTGTGGTATCATTGCTTCCGCTCCACGGCTGGGCAGTCGCTCCCAGTCGATAAGCAGCACTGACATGAACATCAGCATTCATGTTCCATCAGAGATCCATGTCTCCCAGGCCAGCCAGTCTGACTGTGAAGACATACCCATGTCTTCTGCTGACAACGTGGAGATGGAATTTGCTAAACCTGTTGATGTGTACTGCCAGAGGTTTGTGCATGATGCTCAAAATAAGGCGTCAGATGTTTTGGAGGCTGAGTCTGGTTCTCAAGAGCCCCATCACATAATAAATCAAAGCAGCAATAATACATCTAAGAAGGCAGAAACTAAGGCTGAAGCTATCAGAGACATTCCTTCCAGGCCATCTAAGCTGGATGTACAGTCTTCTGAGCAAAATCCTCAGCTCTTAGCCGTTGGTGGGACTGACTTCACTAAATCTCATAAAAGCCCAGGATCTGCATCTGGTAACCTTGAGATGGGACTCCACCTGACTCCTTCTCCAGCTGACAGTAGCAACAGCAGAGCTGTTTCTCCTTTTGCTAAAATCCGCAGTTCCATGGTCCAGGTTGCTAACATCACGCAAGCAGGATTGACTCAAGGGCTTAATTTTGCTGTGGCAAAGGTCCAGAAAAGCCCTGCAGAACCAGAAGCCATAAATGAAATAAAACAAAAAGAACTGAAAGAAATGTTTACGCAATGCCAGACACGAATAATTCAAATCTAGTTGCTCATTTAGGAAGTGTTCTTCTAGTTATGGCTTTTAATCCAATACTAAAAAAAAATATATCAGGACTCCTTGTGGCATGAACTGCTACTGAATACTGGGATCAATAATACAGATAACTTGTTTACAGGAACTGAGAGATGCAAATGAATTTGGTTCTGACCATACTTCAGAATACCTTCAGGCAGCTGAGACAAAAGAATGGTTAACCATATTTAAACAGGTAGCTTAGACACTGGGGTTTAATAAGCATGCTGTCTGTCTTAAATGTGTTGCACAGTTATTTTTGGAGACTAATTTTGTAGCTCTTCTGACTTATGTAGAAAAGTATTTATACTAAAAAGGTGATACTGCACTTCTGTGACCTTACTTACCTTGCACTGCACCAGCAAAATAACTTACCGGTAAATTATATTTTATTTATTTTGAACTGGTATTTTTACTTGTTTTCACTGAAGTTTTAGATGCACCTTTCTATGAATTGTGCCTCTATGATGGGGATTGATGCATTTTTGTTGAATTTGTTAACCAGGAACTAGATTTTCTTTTTGCTTTCCTTTCCTTTCCTTTTCCACACATTCTAGGACACTTTCAGTAAAGATAAAGCATATAGATCCAGTCTGAAATATCCACAATCCTGCAGTGCAGATTTAGTTTGTAATTATTTTTTTTCTCACTTGTTATGAGGTGAGGGGAAATGGAGCAAATGCCCTCTAATTGTCTTGCCCATGCTAAAGCTATTCCTGTTTCCTTTTTTCCAAACACTGGCAATTTGCTCTAATATTTTTTGTCTCTGTAAAGGAAGACAAGCCAGATACCTGACCTTCAGGCATTGTGTCCCTCTGTGCTGTGATTTTTTTTTAAACTATATTCTAACTGTCTAGATGCAAAAGTCCAAATAACTTCTAAAACAGAAAGCAAGTGTACTGTATCATGAAAATCAGTGTTGCATTAGAGCATAGTTGTCAGCATCTAATCAAAACCAAATTCATTACTAACTCAAGCTTTGTGTACTTTGGGGATAAGGCTAAGCATCCACTCATTAAAAAAAAAAACCATCTCCTTATCTATGTGTGTCAAAAGATTATCTCTTTCCCAGAAATGCCTTGCCATGCCATTCCAGTGTACGACATTATCCAACCGCTACTGTAAAGCAGGATCTTACTATGCTGTGGTTTGTAATGATAACCACCATTATAGACCTAGTGCCTCTGTGTTCTAGTCCATGTACTGTAGATAGGCTGCACGTGATGTTCCAAGAAAATAGTGTCATATGGGTAGGGTAGAACAGTGTCTTAGGACTTCTAGTGTGTCCGAAATGATTTATTGTCCAACCCTGATGGTCTGAAACTTTGATAAACAAATTTGATTTATTTATTTGTTTTATTAAAGTGATGTGGGTTTGGTTTTTTGAGTGTCTATACTTGTGTCTATATTTAAAATTAAACTACTGCTGTATTTTATGTGAGCAATATACATGAGATATTTTAATAAAAAAGTTGAATTAAAAGGTGGTTTTTGGCACATGATGTTAAGGGATATGGTACTCCAGGGCTGTGGGGTTTTGAGTTTCAAAGATGGGTGGGTGAGTTGTCTTGACTTTCTCTGGCTTAAGAGTCACAGCATCACACAGTGGTGGAAGTTGGAAGGGACTGTTGGAGGTCATCTGGTCCAACCACCTGCTCAAGCAGGACCAGGTTGCTCAGAACCATGTCCAGAGGGCTTTTGAGTATCTCCAGGGATGGAGACTCCACTATCTCTCTGGGCAACCTCTTCTAGTACTCCAAAAAAAAATGTGTTTCCTGACATTCAGAGGGAACCTCCTGGGTTTTGGTTTGTGCCTGTGGCCCCTTGTCCCAGCACTGGGCACTGCTGGAAAGAGCCTGGCTCTGTCCTCTTTGCAGCCTCCCTTCAGGTGGTCAGACATTAATATGATCCTGTTAGTCAAGAGACACACACATGACTTAAATCCTTTATCCTTTTCTTCTAGCATTATACTGCTCCAACCCTGGCCTCAGGGGAGGAAAAAAAAACAAAAGTCATAGATATGTTTATGAGGACATGCCTTAAAAGCTGCCTAAGCCTTGGTATTTGTTAAGGTTCTGGAGGAGGAAGAAGAAATTCCAAATACTTTGCTATTAGTTCAGTAGAAGAAAGAAACAGATCTGTACAAATAGTTACATTGGGACCCCTACAGTCTAAACGTCTCCAGTAGGGCAAGGGTAGTAATAGCTATAAAGTCACTCCTATATTTTTTTAAAAAATGTATCTTAAGTTTCCAGAAGATACACCCCAGCCTGTTGACTAATTCCTGCTCTGCTGTGTTGGTTCATCGCTTTCTGCTTGGCAATACAAAAGTATCATGTCCTGCCAGTTTGTGAATTGTCCAATACTTAGGAAACATTGGTGTTAATCCTAATAATCCATGGCAATATGCATAAAACCATCCTCCAAGCAGCACTGAAAAAAAATCTTACAAACCAACTATGCTTTCCAGCCAGACTGTGTTTTGAAGAGAGACTTCATTGTCTTCCTCTATCTATTATACTGCACGTCAGATGAAACCATGGATTTTCATTGTAGTGTTCAAAAAAAGAAATACATTGTAAGTGATTTGAAAGGGCAAACTCAGCTCAAGTTTAAGCTACACAAAAATTGTTCATGATAATAAATACTTAAACTTATTAGCATGCAGAGATGGAAAGGACAGTTCCAGATTTGCTGTGCAGCAAAAAAATGTCATGTTTAGAATAGGAAAAATGCAATTAAAAAAAAAAGGGGGTTCCTGTTCACACAATTGTAATCCTGAGAAAGCACTAAGTAAAGGTGGTGTTGGCTTAATGTAAATTTGGCAGGAGCCTTTTTTCTTGTTCAGAAGACGATTAATTAAAGCAAAATCTAGAATGAGCTTGCAGGCTGGCTCCACAAGGACAGCCCTACTTCTGCATAGCCTTTCTGCATTACCCTGACTCCAGATTGCTTTAATGTTTCACTACTTGAGCCACCCTTGTTAAACTAATTCTGCAAGTCATATTAGGGGCAGTATGTCCTCTGTACAGCATGAATAGGATATGTAGAGACTGTTCTTAATGCTTAATTGATATTATTAAAACAATTTAAACACACTGCATTTTGATAATGTAGAAAGTAAGATATGTTTTGTATGCGTACCATTCTCCACTCAATGCTGCTTTTCTTTTTAAAGTTATGCCAGAATAAAGCTGAGTAGAGAGATCAGAGATATAAGTCATGGTCTTCTCTAAGTACAGTAAAGCTGTATTTCATCCTGGAACCTTGTCATGGATAAGATCAAATCACTTCTTTATACCACACTGCAATCACTCTTGTGCTGCTGCTATCAGTGCAATGTGCCTCAGCTCATGGAACAACAGCACACAGTTCTAGGCACGAGAGTCAACGTTTCTTTCAGCTGCAGCTGCTGGTTAGCTGGAACCTCTGCTCCTCAGAATTCAGCCATTTGAGCATTGTATCACAAACCTATTCCAGAATAGAGCCTACCCCTGCTGTGTATGAAAGGCTCTGGGGGGAATTTTCTTATTATTAAAGGAAATTAATACTGAAGTTGCATAAAGTTAAGTTTAATATCAAACAATTTGCTCATTGTTACCAATTTTCAATTAAAGAACAGGCTCCAAAAAAATTTAATAAAGTATGTTTAACTGGCTGAACAGACTTAAGCATGTTCAGACTGCAAGGGTAAATATCCATAACTTTTTGGTATAAATTATCTACAAAAACTGGTATAAACAATATTCCAATCTTAGTATGGGTTCCATCTAGGATTAGACAAACTTTCGTAGTGACATCCACAAAACATTAAAGTTCATTTCCGTTAACACATCTTTGCTGCTGAAGTCTGGCTTTACGTAATGCCTCCAGTTGTTTTGCTCTCAGCCACCTCTCTCTTGACAGCGTTGTCTGCCCCGCGCTGAGAGACAGGAACCTAGATGAGCAGAAACAGCAATTAAATAAGAGGTTGTTCATGTGTCAAGTTTGATAAGCTACTTCAGAACAAAACCCTGTGAACTAGAAAGTGGGAGAAGAAAGGGGAGGACAGAACAAAACCAGTTTTCTTTCAGTACCCTGTGAACTAGAAAGCGGGAGAAGAAAGGGGAGGAAATACTTTGGCTAACTAACAATCTGTGCCAAGAGGAACAAAGGAGGAGGAGATTCTGTCTTTTGATCGCTAGCCAGCCTTCCGCAACTACAATCAAACTGCAGACTGAGAGCACTGACTTAATTTCTCACCAGTGTGGTAGGAAGTCTTCAGTGAGGACAAACAGTGCTACCCACCTTGCTACAAGCAGAGTTCTGTGCAGATCATCAGCTGTTACGCTCTCAGGGTCATTCTTGCGCATTTCTACAAAGTCTTCTTCTACTGCCTATAAACAATACAGCACGTAATTAAGTGGCATAAAAGAGATAAGCTTTGAAGGAGCTAACTGCCAGAACTATCCTTAGATTACAGCAGAAACGTTTCAACTCAATTACTGTTGGGAATGAGCCTGAGGAAAAATAGGCTATTTTCCATCTTTAGAAATAATTAAGTTTTCAAAATGAGTTTTACAAAGCAGGGTACATGTAAAGTATATTCTGAAATATACTCAAGAGTACAAATCCTTGAAGGCACATTCAAGACAAGAAAATGCTTCTGTTTTTAGAAAATCACATACAGGGAGAGTAATGGCAAAGTACAATAACTTTCTATTAAAGTGCTTTCTCTCTGAACACACACTTGAAAACACGTTAGTGAAGTCTTCCATACCTTGGTCACTTCATCAGATATACTATAGTCCAGCAGCCTCAATAAACTTAGATAAATGCGAAATTTGTTCAACACAGAAGGGAGCACTGCTGTTAGGAGGCTGTTCATATACTCTTCCATGTTCGGTGGAATTATCTGCGGTTGTAAGTGGACTTGGCAATCTGACTGAAAAATAAAATTACATATCATCCATTTCCACATCCCATTTTTTCCTATTCCAAGACCAATTTAATCTCTGAAGCAACAGAAGTCACTATTTCCCAGAATTAAGGTAAGACAATTAATTCTTTAAATATTTAACAGTTCCCTTTTTGAAAACCAGTGTGAAGTCCTTATTCAAGCAGGAGTCAGTTTCACTTAGAGGCAAGAGAACAAACACTCCATTCCTACAACTGGAATACCAGAGATAACTGGTAGTAACTCCAGTCCCTGCCTTGCCATCGCTGTACGGTTCAGCCAAGAGGAGGGAAGGTCAATCTCTTGGTTTTCCTCTGACGAGGTTCTTGGCCTGGCTGCAGCCACGGGTGAGAACTAATGCCAGTGTCACACCCACCCCTGGTCACAGGGCAGTGTTCCTGTCTTCACTTGTCTCTGGAATCACATGCTCTAAGTAAATAGCTATCAACCGCAATTATTCCCCAAATTCAGGAAGACCTTGCCATACCGGTAGGAATGATCGACCCTCTGAAGTGATAAGAACATTAATATTGCACAGGAATTCCATCTGGTGGTAACTGAAGTCATAATCCACCTTCTGCCAAGTTATCAGTTTACCCAGTGCGGTCACATTGTGCACACCTAGACAAGCAAGAACAAAGTCTCTGACAATTGGACCTAAATAAACGTCAGACCTGATTTTTTTTTTCCAAATCTGTTTTTAATGAGCAGCCAGTAGAAAAATTCTTGCAAGCGTCCCGTTTTTTGTGTTTGTGGTGTTGTTGATATAGACACAACCATTTCTTAAGACCAAAATTAAAAATTCTTGAAGGATTTAAAGCCTAAACTTTATCTGACCTTGTATGTGTGTTAATAGCTAATGTTCTCATAACTATTTACAGAGAAAAAAACTCTCTCCTCAGAAGACGACAAAACACTACCAGCTATCTGAGAGAAAGTGTAATTTAAGAGTTCACAGGGGGAGGAAATCATGCTGGGTAAAGAACACATTAGATAGGCTAGCAAGAGCAGAACAGCTGAAAACAGCTGAAAGTTAAGACCAAAATGAAATACCGACATGTACCCGATAATTTGAATTTCTCCTCAGCAGTGCTATTGCATCAAATGACACATCTACTGTTATGGTTTTGCCTTTAATGAATGTGTTAATTTACTATACTGTAAATAAAGGCAAAGTTACTAAATAAAAGCAAAGAGAACATTATGGTTTACTTCTGGGACATTTTGCACTTCGAAATCTCTAAGCTGTAACTTCTAAGAGTTCTAAACAAACTACTAGATCTGATGAATTTTGTTCCCAACATTTTTATAAAAAATTAAAAAATCTTACTTTTTAACTCTAAATTCAGTAAAGAACACCAATAGAAATTAAATAAAATGAACAAGCCTTTTTTATCTGCAACTTTTAATACTTAAAATATTACTTTTTGTTAAATGTGTTTTTAGACATTAAGGACAAACATTTTAGAAAACCTATAAACCAACTCATCAAGATTTTTCTGTAAATGGGAGTTTTTCATGTTTTAACTTCCTTTTTTTTTTTTTTGAAACAGATAATGCACAGATTTCTACTGGTTTTTACTATTTTCTTTAGTGAAATTTTCCAACTTCACTAAAGCAGAGTAACAAATAAATACTGAAGACTCAAAAACAAGTGACTAAGTACAATGAACAACTTTTAACAGCAGTAATTAAAAAAAAAAAAAAAGAAAAAAAGATTAGATTACTAAATAGTATCAACCTGAAATCAGAACCTCACGAGTTCTGCCAGACTAAGTGCCAACCAGAGAGACCTTGACAGGCTTGAGAGGT